TAACACCTAGTTGCTCTTCAATTTGCACCTCTGTTCCACTCTCAACTCTGTAAGTTATAGCAGATACTATTTGGAGCTCACCACTCTATTTCATGGATCTACAAATATTGAAAGTTGCTTCTTCATTGTTCAGTCTGAACTTCATCTGCCCCTTCTCCATATCAACCAATGCATGCCCTGTGGCAATGAATGGTCTCCCAAGGATGATGGGAACCTCAAAATCAACCTCACAGTCAAGAATCACAAAATCCGCCATAAAAATGAAAGACTCCACTTTCACTAACACATCATGGAGTACACCAATGGGCCTCTTCACAGTTCGATCAGCCATCAGTAACCGCATGGTAGTGGGCTTTGGGTCCCCTAGACCCAACTTCTTGTAAATGGACAATGGCATGAGGTTGATGCTAGCACCAAGGTCACACAATGCCTTATCAAAGTGTAACAACCCGATAGTACATGGAATCGTGGAGGCACCAGGATCCTCCTTCTTTTGCACAAGAGACCTTGTAGCAAGCGCTACAATGCTGCAATCTATCATCATCTTCAAAACTTACAGACCTCTTCTTTGTCACCATATCTTTCATAAACTTTGCATACCCAGGCATTTTCTCCAAAGCTTCTATCAATGGAACGTTGATGGAAAGTTGCTTCAACATAGTAATAAACCTGCGATATTTACCATCTTCAGTCTTCTTCACTAACCTCTGTGGAAAAGGTGGTGGAGGTCTAGGTATGGGGACCACTTTCTGAGATATCTCCGCTTCTTTCTCTGTCGCATTCTCTGACTCTTCTCTAACCTTTACCACATCATCTTCTTTTCTAATCTCTATTTCCACCACAGACGGCCTAGGTGGATCTATGGTTTGCTTACCCCCTCGAGTAGTAACTGCCAGACAATGACCGTCATTCTTTGAATTCTAGATGGTGTTGCTTGGAAGAGTACCAGGTTGACGTGGGTTCACTGTAGTAGACAACTGGGTCATCTGCTGCTCTAGGTGCTTTATTGACACTGCATGGGCATCAACCTTTTGACCAATACCAGACAAGTCATTTCTCATTTCCTTCACATTCTCATCAGTTGCATCAAACCATCTCATCATCTTTTGCATCATATCTTCAATGCACGCCATATTGCCTCCAGCTTCCCTAGTACCAGATTCCCGATTTTGAGGGGGAACATAAGGTCCAACCCGATCGTTTCTGTTGCCATAGTTGTTCCTGTTGTAGTTGTTGTCGCGATTGAAGTTCCCATCCCGAACATATTGACCCTCTCGGTTGTAATTTCCATAGTTTCGACCTTGGTTTCCTTGACCTTGGCGCCAATTTTTCGTGTTGGATCCTTGGGTGTTTGGTCGAAAACCCCCCGTCTGATCATTCATCGCATAAGCATCCTCTCCATAGTAACACTCTTCATCTGGTGGTGGCGTTCTAGTAAAGTAATTCACAACATTTACCTTCTCTACACCTCCACTCACATGCTTCAATACCAACCCCAATTCGGTCCTCATCTGAGCCATCTCCTCACGAATCTCATCTTTCAATACCTGGGTTTGTCTGTGGTTTCCCAGCAAATTACCTAGATTGTTGCATGGAAGTTCTTCTTTCACTTTTGGAAATGCTACTTTAGAAAATGAGATTGACATTTCCAAGCTTATCTGGAAAGGAAAAAAAAAATTAACTTTTTTATTTTTGAAGTAAAACAGGCAGCATTTAGACATGTTAACGTGTTTCAGTTCTCATGCAACACGAAACAATTTTCATCCAAAGAATCTTCATATTGAACTCATTTAATTCCTTCATGGGACGCTGCATTGATCTCCCATTAAAACTTCATATGGCCTCTTTTGGTTAACTCTTTTATGCTTAAGTTCAATTTTTAAGATATCTTTTTCTGGACATTAATTCCAAGAAGATTATTTCTATGCATTCTAGACTGCTTTCATGGGCATTGACCCCTGATTAAACGTGAGTTTGTAAAACATATCTCTCTCTAGTTTCCTTGGCTTCTGGTGCCATGGGGCGAGTGTAATAGTTCCATGTAAGGTGGCAAAGTACAAACATATTGGATAGTGGTTCATAGCAAGAAGTCCGCTATTTTTAGGGGTCGGACCTAGGATGTCCCTGGAATTATAATGCACCTTGCATATGGGATAGATTTATATCGTATCAGTGAAGAACACTGTACAAACACGCAATAAATGTAATTCCAAATTTTATACTAGGACTAGGACTAAAAGACCCATTAGTGCCTAAGCCTTGACAACCCACCAGTGGGTTCATTGTTTTTTTTTTCTTTTTTATGATAAGTAGTTTATTTCACAATTTTGATGTGATATTGAGTCCTTAACACTAGGAGACTATATTCATTGGAGGTTCACTGGAGTTCTTTTTTTTTGTTGGCAGGCAAGTGTAGATGTTCTTTCTGATCCTTCAACTCTTCTACCAAATATATGAGAAATGTTAAGAATCAAGTTTCATGACCACGATTTAACGAAGGCCTCAACTTCACTACCAAGCAAAATGAACAAATTTTAATCAATTCGTTTTGAATTTACGTAAAAGTTTTGCTGTTGTATGGTCACTCATCTTGGCAAACATATCGCTGCAGTTGTATCAATAAAATTCAAAGCATTTATTTTTCTAGTTTCATCTGTAAAAATAATGGTCTTTTAACTTGCAAGTCGGTGTCAGTTTGTGAAAGTGAACAAAGTATTAACCTGATTGTGAAAAAAAAATTTCTATTGAAAATCGGTGTAAAAGTGAATTTCAAGTCATTTTTTGAATCTTCAACTTTCCATCACAATATGTTGAACTTTTACTTCTTTTCCAAAAAACACAATTCAAATTCTAGCTCTCACTATGTCAGCATGGAACTTAGAATGCCAAATTGAATAACTTATAAAACCTCAAACACAACGATGAGGAAAAACCATCGAAGAAATATTCATTAGAACTGAAACCTAAAGAACATCAATGGCTTAGAAAAGGTGTAGGCAAATAAATTTGTATTGGAAAACCTCTACAAAAGACATATAAAAGAAAAGCAGGAGCCTAGGTACAATATTACAGTTCAAATATGAAGTTAAACATACAACTTAAAGGAGTATCAACAACCAAAAATGAGAGCTGCTCCTCGGTGGAATCACTTGGAGTTCACCGCTGCTTCTGTATCCTCTTGTCTCTAATGGGCAATTCAACAGGTTTCTGTGCCTCATGAGGATGTTCAGGACCTTTATACACTTAAATGTGTAAATAGTTGTCTACCAAGCTGCATAAACAGAAAATTGAATTATTTTAGAATGTGGAGTATATAAAATGTAAAAAATGCAGAAAATCTTTTTTCTACTGATTGTAACTAGTGATTCAAGGCAAGGCAAGTGCAATCACCACCAATTCTGAGATCCAATAAATAACCTTGTCAATTTCATTTAAGTGAGGGCTACATGCACACAATAAAGGAAACCAGAAGCATGAGAAGATACGTTGCATAATTCACATCTGCCTTGATTTAGAAGTGTAAACAATAGCCATACAACCCTCCATTCGAAGAAATAATACTCTTTTATGCACATGCGTATCTAGGATTTAAAATCATTAGTTCCAAGTGGGGTTGGTTTATATGTGTATGTAGAAATAAATATTACACACACACACAAGTATATTGTAAGTTCCATGGATGCTACCGCTATGGGAGATGAGAGTTATTAATGGAGTCCCTAATAACTGATAAGTGATACTTTGTCCCCAACATTATATGTAAATTGCCAAACATCTTCTTTAGGTTAATCAACATAATTAAGAAAACTTATTTAGGTCTAGCATGGAATGAAACAACACAAATTGTAACGAATACTGACCCTTCTTTTGGGAAGCATGCCTCAGACAACATGTTCAATGATTCTTTCAGGAATTCTCTGTTGCAGTTGAGCAAAAGTCTCCACTGCCGGAGTGCCTCCTATAAAGTTTTTGGCTCCTCTTCTTCCCAGATACAACAACCTTCTCAGCATTAACCTTTTGGTGTTCAAGTAAAAACAGAATTGCTCAGATATAAAAATGCAGACTAGCAAATAATTTACAGTTAAAGAGAGCTGGAAAGTCTCAAAGTTATATAATGCTATCTTACGCACTAGGTCCCCTGTCTAGACGTGGGGTCAAACAATCTAATTTTCTTATTTACCTAACCAATATGGCATTGGCACATGCCTAATTGTCACATTTAATGTTCATGTGGATTAAGGAAGGCATAATTTGAAGTGTGTAAACCTTAGTTAAGTGATACTACGAGGAGTGATCAGATAGTAAGCAGCACCAAGTCCCTATGCACACATATGATTAATTTCATCAAAGTTGAACAAGCAGAAGCCTTTTAGATTTCGGCCTAACTAAGTGATAATAGTGTGTCAGGATGTAAGCATCACTCAATGTTTCTTATGCAACATAATAATTTCATCGAAGTTGAATAAATAACCATGCCTCAGGGAACTCGATGTGATGAGATGAAAAATGAAAGAACTCTCTACAACTGAACGTACTAGCAAAATGTTTTCGTTGAAATATGATCACTCAAAAGAAATAATCAATGACTCACAAATTAAAACTTAGTGGATAAAGAACCGCCTCTCTACACTTGTTAGCTTAAATACCAAGCTCGTGTCTACATCAAGGTTCAGATCCATTACAGGCGCCTAACCCACACATCACATGTTGCTCGTTTTCTTCTATTATTACATCATGAGCTACTCTCTCACCACTAGTCCAAATCCCGGGGGAAGGGCACATTAAACTTCCATTTTTATTTTTCAATGATCTTTTGTCTTTCTATTGAATTTGTTTGGAAGCAGTAGCTTAAGTAATCAATATTTTGATCATCAACATGATTTGGGTTACTTAGTAACTTTGTGAACTTGTACTCCTTTCCTTGGAGCTTTACTGATGAGTTCAATTGAGTTTATTTGATATATATATTGCTAAATGTCAAACAGTGAGCATAAGATATAAATCACAATGCCATCTAAGTGAGAGTAAATCATTGCTTACACACCTCACGAGCCTTTGATGTCTCAAAATCATCATACAGGGCTTCATCTCTACGTTCATGGTCAGCCAGACCAATCATGGAATTAAATTTACATCTGCCAATCTCTTCACTACATAAGCAAAACCAAAAACAACACTAAGCTTTGAAGAGAGGTTCCCATCAATGGATCTCTGTTAGCTCATTGAAGTAGTTATCTAAAATAGACAAAACAATCACTTACATGGTTATCTCTACAACTGGAAGCTCGGAGATGGATTCAGCAGAATCAGCATTCTCAACAAGTTCTCTCATAGTAATGTAAAGACATTTCCCAGGCTGAAAATTTGGAAAGACTAACTTGATTAACAGCGCATTTAGTGTATCATTGTTGAAGTATGTTGCACCTCATGAAAATCTTGAATATGCTAACCGGGGGGGGGGGACGGGGCATATGGAGGTTAATTTTTCAACCTTTTCTTTTATAAAGGTACCTAAATTTTTAATTAATTTTAAGGTACCAGCTGCTACTTTCCAACATAACAGCTATTAACCAAGAGGAAATATTAACTTCACTTTACTTTATTAAAATAAATTAACAAAGCAATATTTTCTTAAAAACTAAAATTTCCATTTATAGTTCTATGGAGACTATGCAACTTCGTTTTTTTTTTTTTTTTGCATTACCCTTTGATTTCATTCATTTTTCTTTTCCACAAATCCTTTGGTGTTTCTGCATTTTTGGATTCTACTTCTCTATATCACTCGAATGCCAGCAAGGAAATATTACTTCATTGACATCCTTAATCATCAAACTAATGTGTGATTATAACATTAGAAAAAAGTTGAAATTATAAGATATCCTAAACATATAAGATACTCACATTGTCAAAACCAGCAATGTTTTTATCATCTGCAAAGAACTTAGCATGAGACTCTGCACAAATTTAAAACACAAAATGAAAATTAATCCAAGAAAAGAAAAGGCGACAAACCATTAAGCTTAGAAGTTTCGCCTAGACTCAACCAATAGACTAAGTGAGAGAGAGTAAACAAACTCTGTTTGAGAATGCTACATTTCATATGTATAAATGTTTGATAATCCAGCCAAGCCTTCTGTGAGAAATATAGGAAAAGAATATTATTGAATTGTTGTTGTTGTTTACATTATTACATTGAGACCCTATTTATAGACCCTAGAATACAATCCTTTACCAAGTAGGATACTATTTAGTATTACTATTTCTATTCCTATTCTAATAGGATTGTATAAAAACCTATTCCTATTCTAATAGGATTGTATAAACCTATTCCTCTTCTAACACTCCCTCTTAAGTTAGTGCATACAATTCATGTACCTAGCTTGTTACAAATGTAATTAACACGAGGACCGATGAGGGGCTTGGTGAGATATCTGCAAGTTGATCACTCGACTTCACAAAATTGACAATCAATCTTAATGTGCTTGGTCTTCTCATAAAATATTGAATTTGATGCATAATGCCGATAAAACACAGAGTGATAAAATTACAGTGTTGGAACTTCCCAAACCAAGCTTGTAAAGACTGTTTCAGACCATAGAGTGACTTACGTAATCAACATACAAGGCTACTAAACTCCCCTTGAGCAACAAAATTAGGTGGTTGCTCCATATAGACTTCTTCACAATGCAACGGTCATTGTAAGTGCTCAAAATCTAGTATAAAGTATATGGATAATGTTGGAATCAATAGACGAGTCGATATTAAACAAGTCACTGAAAAATTGGCTGGAACATGCTCATATGCCGTAGTATTAGATTTGATGGCTAAAAGTGGTCACAATCTAAGAAATAAAATTATATAGGTAGGGTCGGAATGATGTCACAACCCAACTAGAAAATAGAAATTATATAGGATAGTTCGAATAGATGGAACGATCCCATTGAAAAAGAGAAATAATATAGGTAGGGTCGGAATGATGCCACAACCCTACTGAAAAAGAAAAATTATACGGGTAGGGTTGGAATGATGGCACAACCCTACGCAAATCAGATTTGAGAAGTCACCAGAAAGACGAATGGAACTATGCAAATCAAATCTGAGGAGTCGCTGAAAAGACACATGATGCTATGCAACTCAGATATGAGAAAATAGCTCTGAAAAATCCACGGTATTACATAAATTAAATATGAAAAGTAGTCCGGAGAGATGCACGGTGCTACACAAATAAGATATGCAAAAAAAGGTAGTCAAAGAAGGATGACATGGTGCTACACAAATTGAATTTGAAAAAGTAGTCACTGGAATGATGGCACGGTGCTACACAAATTAAATATAAAAAAGTAGTCAACCATATCTGACTTCCTTCTGGCTTTAATAATGATAAAATCCATTTCTGGACTTCATCCATATCTGACTTCCTTAGTTCCCTTGAGTTAGCATAAATCATTAATTGATCTCTGGAATAGTAGGTCCATATAGCATTTCCATTCAAATAATTGTTGGCTAGTTCTTGTATTATAGTTGATATACCAATTATTCTTTTATTGGCATAGAAATTAGGTATCTCAATTTTTGGTATTTTTGGTTGTTCTCCAATATCTTCCGGTATTATCATATCTTTGGTCAGGCCTATCTTTACAACTTGAATATGAGGTTTTATCTCCTCATGTAATATCTCTGCTGTTGCCGTATAGAATTTTATATAAAATAAATTCCCTTTGGTTACTCTTTTGTATATAATAAATGCTTTGTATAATTCTGGTATACCGCTTAATTCTTCTCCATCATAGGTATATGCTGTACTTATTAATCCATAATTATAACATGTTTTAACTAGGATAGCATTGGTTTTTGGCTGTGCAATTAGCTTGTTGTATCTTTGTAATTTCTGGGTTATATAGTCTTGGTT